GTGGGGCGGGTGGCAATTTTCTTTTGATTTCCTGTTCCCCTGCATCTCCCAATAATATAGGAACTGGGCCCACTTTCCCCAAAATACTGCATTCCAAAGTGGTTGCCTCAGATTCTGAATATGTATTACAAGAAGAGGTGCAGTCAGAATCATAAGCAAGCCTTGAAATAAGCATAGCAACTGGAGAAAACCAGATCATCTCCAGTTATGGGGGAAGGTGTTGTTGAACAGGCAGGGCCAGAGAAGGAAGGTCCCATTGACCAATGCCAGCTTAAGAAAGCAGAATAATTGAGTAGCACAGGCATTTTTGCCATCTTTCCCACAGGAAACAGGAACCTCCCTAAGGGTAGAGCTAACTTGATTTGGTTAGAAAGGGAGGAAGGAGATTCAATTTTGAATCTCTTTCTTGACATGAATGGTAATCTCTCCCTATTTAGCTGGTTTTCCTTTTTGTTGTTGCTGTTGTTAGTCGTGAAGTCATGTCCGACCCATTGCAACCCCATGGAAAAATTATCCAGGCCTTCCTGTCCTCCATCATCCCCCAGAGTCCACTTAAGCTCACAGCAACTGCTTCAGTGACTCCATCTAGCCACCTCATCCTCTGCCGCCCCCTTCTTCTTTTGCCATCTATTGTTCCCAGCATTAGACTGTTCTCCAGGGAGTCCTTCCTTCTCATTAGGTGGCCAAAGTATTTGAGTTTCATCTTCAGTATCTGGCCTTCTAAAGATCAGTCAGGGTTGATCTCCTCTAAGACTGACTGGTTTGATCTCCTTGCAGTCCAAGGGACTCACAGGAGTCTCCGCCAGCACCACAATTCAAAGGCCTCAATCCTTTGGTGCTCAGCCTTCCTTATGGTCCAGCTTTCACAGCCATACATTGCAAATGGTTTTCCTAACCCGATTGATATCTTTTGCTAATGACCTGTTCAGTACCCCATTTTAACATAATAAATACTGTAATTAGAAGCTGCTTGTTTGGATCTGTGTGGAAGGAGAAAGGAATGAGTGGGGAGACTGGCTCCCAACAATATTCTGGAAGACTCCAGAAAAGCAGGAAATGTTCTGCTGGAACCTGCAGGGGGAAGGAGGAATTGGAGAAAATTCTTGCCTCAGCACCAACAGACTCTTCTGAGTGCAAGACTGGATTGAACCCATTGAGTTCAGTAAGTCTGAGCAAATTCTTCACTGGAAACTTTAGGCAAGGCATAATGAAAATTTAGAAGATGACAATTTTACTACACACTTTTGAAATATCAGCACTAATATTTGAGGATTTTTTTTCTAAGAGCCTTACCTAAATATTGTTTGAAAACCTTGTATAACATTCTACATATAATATGTCATGAAATATATTCTGTTGAGAGCATAGCCCAGAGGTTATTAGAGGATGGGCAACTACAGTGAAGGGCGGTCTCTCTCTCTCTCTCTCTTTCCCTAATGTACATTGTTATGCATTTGGAACCAAGAGTATGAATGAATCTAATAGCTTGTAGTTCATTTATTTACTTCACCTTTCAGCTTGTTAGGCCTCTAAACAGACATACAATGTATTTCTTTTATTATTACAGTAATTTGAGAACCACCTACTAGCATCATGCTCTCTGGGCTGGCCAAGTATATCTACTTGTTTATATACAAGTCTTTCTACAAACTTAGCAGTATATTTGCCTTTGCTTTTTTTTAACAAAAAACAAGCTAAAGCTGAATTTGCTCAAGACATAATCTTATGTGCATTTAGACAGAAAAAGGTCCTGAAACTCCCAGCACTCCCCAGCAAGGCATGGTGGAAATTAAAGGATCTTTCCTGCCATCAGGAAGAGCCAGGAGCCAGTGTGTACCAACACCTCCACACACCCAGAAAAGCCTGGCTTTGGTTTATCATGCCACCTGACCTGGCTCAATGTCTCATATGATCATGTGACAGGATCCTAGTACTGGTTCAAGCCCATAGCCACTTCCATGCCATTCTTTGGACTAGTTCTCAGTTTTGGTTTAACAAGACACCATTTGACCTTCTTGCTCCAGAACGTCCCCAGCCACAGCCTTGCAAGGGGCTGTTGCAAGGAGAACTGAGGCATGCTGCGTTCTCCTCTGAGAACTGCTGGCACATGCCTGTATTCCCAGTGCTTGTGTAGGATTGTACTCTTTTCTGTCAGTAGTAATGGGGATTAATGTCAAGTAGGGCAATGCTGGATGACTGTGCTCCAGCATTTAGGATTTGTCTTAAATTCCTGCATTCAAATCTGTTGATTGAACAGCTTCAGTCAATGCAGAACTTTGTGGTTTAACTGATAGTCACTTAAATCTTAAACAACTTTACATGGAAACAATTGGATTGTTTTGGGAGTATGCAATTTTTAAAAGGTAATATAATGAGTATGGATTTTACTATTTTGTTTTTCATGACTTAGTGAAAATAAGTGAAATACTCTGACAGGTGTCGTTGTGGATAGACAGACAGATGGGAATGCATAAACACTGTCGCCTGGGCTAAAGAGGGGCACAGAGTTACATAACTTTCAAGCAGCATCTTGGGTACTAAACTCTAATTCCAAGAACTGCAGCCAATCCAATATTGTACTTACAAAAGAGGTGAGAACCCTTGCTTGATTCAAAGGCTTCTGGGGCATAGGTCATCCTGGCAACAACTAGTGAGTTTTATCATCTGCTGTTCTGGAGATGAAAACGCAAGAAAGCCTCAGCAGCTTTATGAAAGTTAACTATCACACAAAAAGAACAGCGAATTAAACACATTGATTTGAGGGTTCAAGAATCTTGCTTCCTTCCTCTTGGGGAGATATGTTTAAGGGGTTGTTTCAGTCAAGTAGATCAGTGGTTCCCAACCTTTTGTACACTCTGTATCCCTAGAAAAGGATTGATTTATGTTCACACCCCTTACAAAAGTAATACCACATTAGAAGATGTGAAGTCAAATGTCTTTAGATATGAAGATAAAGAAGTCAGATGTCTAATTTTTACACATACAGTATGCAAGTGAACAAATTGAACTACAAAAAAGCTTTTCAGTCCGTGCATAAAATTCAAATATAAATTGAGCAATTAGAAAAAAAAATGTAAAAAGTAAGATAAATCCCAATTATGAACATAAAATACAGTGACAGCTTTATTCCTGTTTCTCATTCATATTTTGGGACTTTCTTGCTGATTGCAATCTGCAAGTCTGCCTGTGGATTCAGGCAATTCCTAGGCTTTGTCTTCATTGACAAAAGAGAACTGAATCCAAACGCAAACAAAATAATAATAAATAATTTTATTACTGGGATAATGTTTGGTGAAGAATGTATCAGTAATAAAGTTATTGATTATTATGGTGAATCACCATGCAGTTTTCCTCTTTGCCACACTCCTGAAATGCTATTTTGCACCCGCTGGGGATCCAGACAGTCCAGGTAGCAACCCCTGCTGTAGATGAAAAATAACATGCCTTAGCTTCATGGCTGAAGGATAGCCATGGATAGTCCTTGTTGCAGGTTGATCTTTCACTTTCACTGTACCAGAAGAAACATTTTCCAGCAGTGTCATCTGATGGCTGACTTATGCCCCCTATTATGACTGAAAGAGGAACTTGTATAAAAAGTGACGTGGCATGTACTGACAAATCAAATGATTTCTTGAAATGGTTTCTTCTTTCCATCATGCGGTCTAGCCTTCTGTACACAACTGACTATTCAGCAAGACTCTTCATCCAGATATGTCAGGCTCCAACTTCTATCAGCTCTAGTTATCATAGTCAGTGGCCCAGGAAGATGGGACTTGTTGTCAAGCAACATACAGAAGGCCACTAGTTTCCGATCCCTGGGCATGAGACTGGTGTAATAATATTTGGTATTTTTTTAGCACTTAGTAAAAATGCTCTCGCAACAGGTCATGTTAGGAATCCTACTGTAATCTTGTAAACAAAAGCAGTGTTATAGTTTACCATCTTAGAGATTTGAGGCTGCAAAGGTGTGGTTTGCTTAAGGCAGAGATGGAAATCCTCTGTCAGCCTGGAGCCAAATTCAAATTGGAGAAGCTCCTGATAGCTGCATTCTGGTGAGTGGTGCTAAATGTACAGAAACAAACAAACAAACAAACAAACAAATGCTAGCATATTGTAGCAGAAAGTCGTACTGCCAATAACTAAGCAGAAGCATTTAGCCTTTTAGAATGAGGAAAATAACTGCAGAATTCAACAAATGATGTGTGTTAGAGGGGAGGAGGTGGGGCGTAGAGAAGTTGATGTAACCATCTCAGGTTGTTCCTCAGGCCTGGGTTTCTCTACCCTTGGCTTAACATTCTTTGAGTGGCATTCTTGATAGAAAGGTGGGGTACAAATTTAAAAATATAGGCATTCTTGCTAATTTATTCTGTCAGTTGTTTGCTGGTGCTGGCATAGAAATATTCTGCATCATTTAGTGAACAATGTGAATCAACATTCCCATGTATTCCTATGTGGAGCCACTACAATGGAATAAATTATTTTTCTTGTGCTTTCCTGTATTTATGTTAATATCAATCTCTAATTTTGTACTAAAAGAAGGTTCTAACTTTAGGGTGAAAAAATTGTACTTTTGCCATATTAAAAACTAGTATACATTTTTATTAGATTTTGCACATTTGCTGGATGAGTTCCAACAGTTGCTTTTTGTTCATAAGGAGGAGACTGCCAGCATTCACTGTTTAATGTCAGTTTCCAATTCTGGTCTCTTATGGTGAGATATGACGTTATTTGGATACTCAGTAATGTGGAGCTTTATCATATGTTAAATCTAGTTTTTTGAAAAGCAATTTCCTGTAGAAATCATGTTTTAATTTTAATTGCCTTTTAGCTATAATTCTAGTGCTCATCTTGATTAGACAATCAGCCAAGAAATAGTTGCTCTCCTTTACACATAAAAATGGGAATACATTGCTGAATTTTTTAATAGACTGATAAATGTTATTAAAACCAGTTAGATTTACCAGAGAATAATTTTGTATTCTTTCCCCCTTTCAATTCAGTGCCATTTAGAGAAGCTCCTACATACTCAAACAGAAGACGGAGACCTCAGACCACCTTGGTAACACCTCGTGTTTTGCTCCGGTCCAATAGTGATAACAATCTGAACATTAACATTCCTGACTGGTCAGCTTCCTCTTTAGCTTCTTCACACCGTAGCCTTTCGCCTCACCTACTTCAACAGATGCAGAATAATCCTAATGGAACTGTGAAAACTGTTGGAAGCTATACTTCAACCTCTCGGAGCCGCTCACCCTCATTAAATAGGTTAGGAGAGGATGCGAAGCGGCAGCAACACCGGCACATCAGGTGACATGTCAATATTAATTTTTTTTAAAGAATTTACTTTGATTTTTTAAAAGTTTTGTAATACAGTTCTTAATACAAACTGACCTTGATCCATGTCTTCCACAATTTTTCTTCCAAAGTCCCTTTGTTCTTCTCACAGTCTTCCTTCTCCACTATGTAGACCCTTTCAGGATTAACAGGGGGGAAGTATTCTTTGCATTGTTGCTGAGCAGGAAAGGGTCACCCACCACCACCCCTGTATGTGACTCTTATTTGGGAGGAGGAATCAGCCTAGTCATGCTAAATACATGTATGCATTTCACATCACGCCGTATTTAGTACTGGAACTAAAGTTGGTAGTGTTTGCTGTAAAAGTTCATCTTGTTCCTATGGGGGACATTTCTACATATCTCTGTATATATTTTCTTGTATCTGTATGGAGCATCTAAATCTTACAAGATGTAAAATTTTATGGAGCAAATCATAAATAGTATTAGGACAGAATAATCAATGTTGTGTGTAACACTGTTTCTGACTGGCTTCAGCTTTCATAACATCTTATGAAACCTAGACACCCCCTATAGATAAATACAAATAAGTTTGCATGCACATTCTAAAGTGCCACATCAGGGAACAGCAGAGATTACATTTAAAATGTAAGTGTGTGCATATGTAGTCAGGAATGGTCCTTCCTCTCATAGAATAGCAGCAGCATAATTAACTCCTGTGGAATGTTCTTGGCTCAGATCTTCAAAAAAGAATTTCTCATCCTTAGGCATCTGTGCATCTGGTTTAATTGAGCTACATATATAGCAACCTGGGTGTTATATACAAATATATGTAATGAAACACCAATGGTTGAGAATGAAAAGCAGGAGGCTTCAGTTTTGAGTGAAGTGGCAGGGGGAGTTAGGCTGCTTAATTGTTTACCCACTTGTGTTTTTTCACGCAACTGCTCCCCGAGTTGCTTTTTTTACAAGTGAAGTCATGCTTTTGGAATCCCATGTGGGAAGTTGGGGGTGATGTACAAGCACCTTAAAGAAAATACATGATCACAAAAGTGCTGGCAGTGAATGTTTCTGTGCAAGCTGCTTCTTCCACTCAAAGTTGCAGCTTCCGCAGCCTGCTTTTATTTTTAAAAAGAAGTAGTGTAACTTTATAATGCGCAATTGTATGTAATGCATAGCTTGCCTGTGCATTTTCCTTTAGTAAGCAAAATCATTGGAGCTAAAACAAACACTTTTCTACACCATATAGGAATTCACTGTGGAATTCACTTGGATCAAAAAAGCAGCAGGTTTTAGACACCTGTAAATAATCTTTCTAGGGACATTGAAATGATGTTCTGGGCAGTCAGCTTTGCCTCCTACGTATTTCTCAAGTAGCTTTAATCATTAAGTGTTTTGTGCTCCTCAATCATGCTCTTTCCTTGTTTGTGTCATTTTATTTAACCAATGGATTAGAAATCCAGAGACAGCTCCTGACTTTTTGTGTTTGCTATAAAAAAATATAGTTACCTGACCTTTTACACTTTGTTTGATTTATTTGAAGGTTAAAAAGAAATGTCTAGACTACCAGACAAGTTTCTGGCTATTTGGCTGTTGGGGCGTTATGTTATGAACTGGTGAGGGATGGTGATGAAGGTTCCCTAGTCTAAAAGTTAAACTAATGCTGTTTTACTTTGCTCTTCTAGTGCCAGTTATAACCCCAGTGCCAACAAGGATACGCTATCTGCCTTGGATTATCAAGTTCCAAAACGCAAACTTTATAGTGCTGTACCTGGAAGACTATTTATTGTTGTGAAGCCATATCAACCTCAAGGAGACGGGGAGATTCATTTGCACAAAGGGGACAGGGTAAAAGGTCAGTCTTTTATTTTCAAATGCTCCTGAATGACCATACCATTTTTTTCATAGTTTAAATAGACAGCTGAGCTCATAGTTTCTCGTTGTGAACCAGCTTGGACAAAAGTTAATGTAGTTCAATTCCAGTTCAGCTAATGTACTTGAATAACTGAATTGATGCCCCTCAATGCGTTTGAATCAGATCGCTCAGAAATTGGAGCATATTACAAGAATGCCAGCTTGTGCTGCATGGAGCAGATTAATGGATCTGGATTTATCACTGTGAAGCATGCCTTTGGCTAAAAAAATCAATAGTTGAGACACAGTGGGTATGCAATGCTTATAATTTATGTGCAAAGAGGCAACTTAAAATAATGAAAAAGAAACACAGTTCACAGGAGTAATTAAAATTTTGTATCCCAAGCATAATATTACCAAATAAAAAGGATGTCATTCTATACACTGGAGTAGGCAACACATGGCTCGCAGCCCACATGCAACTTCTCCCAGCCTTTAACACAGCCCCTGCAACCTGTTTCTGCACCTCAGAACTTAGCAACACAGACGTAGTGGCAGAAAGACAATCAGTTGTTTGCCATCAAAGCTTTGTAAAAAATACTGGTGAAATATGAAATAATGGCAAAAATAATGCAAAACTAAAACACTGTAGCAATTGTGCTCTGGTTCCCACTGCCTGTGCTGACGAAATGGTTTATTCATGCTGCATGAAGCCTATACAAAGAAGAGACAAGCTTGCATAATACTGTCAGAATCTCAGAGAGCCACTTCTTCTCCTGCTAAGCCGTTGGCGTGGTCTGCATATGTTCATGCATTTCTTGACCTGTGTACACCTCACTGTGTATTCCTATGCATCCCTTTCCTCCTCAGTTATTCAAGAGCTTTACTTTCAGTTTCACTTTTATTACTTTGTGGGGTAACTGCCTTGAAACAACAGCACCCATTGTCTGCGAACTCGCATTTGAAGAAGTCATCAGTGCCTTAGATGCAAAATCAAGGGGTATCCAAGGTAGTTTAACATTATTATGGTGCTTCTGCACAGGCAGGCATTTTGAAAAGAACAGCAGAGACCTGATCATGTACAAAAGACTGGTGTGCACACAGGAATTCGGGTTTAGATATGTGGCATTAATAGTATGAGATGAACTTGGCTATGTATTTGAGATGGAAGATTAGTCCATAAATGACCCATCACATTCATGAGTTATATGCGAATCTGCATTCCAGTGCATCTAACTGCTGTCAAAGAAGGCTTTTCCTCTGTGAGAGCCTGTCTTAACTGAATCATTTTTTATTAAATAAAAAGACAAACCTTAAAATACTTTTGTGGCTACGTATTTTTTTGAAAGAAATCAAGAGAGATGCTAAATCAAGACTGCATAAAGAACAGCACTCTTGAGAGACATGTTGTTGTGCAGACATGAAGGCTGGCTAGCTAAACTTAATCTCTAATAATCATAGTAGCAGACAGAGGACAAAGAACGGTATTAATAGAAGACTTGATTAAAGCTGCTTGCAAACAGATGGATTGAACTAATAAGTTCTAGTCAAACTTAGAAGGTTCTTGCATCTGTAATTGACTACAAGCAATGTAGCAATAAAACTGTGTGACTTCTAATATCCATGTTCAGTAAGCTTTATGAATAATAAAAATAGGTTTTGGGTAGCACAATTCTACATTGAAGCCCCAGTTTCTGTAAAGGGGCACATTGCTGTCTTGAGGGCAAGCTGGATAATGCAGCATTCTCAATCTGCAGCCCAATGCAAAGATACACTTATAATATTAAAGGGAGGATAAAAGCAGAAAAAGCAACTACTGTTTGCATAGTTGCCTGCTATGCTAAGCCATCTGGAAATAAGCCACAGTGGGTTGGTTGTTCACTGAACAGCCCATGGTACACATGAGAGAATCTGACTTACCGTGGGTTGTTCTTACTCTCCTCCCCTCTCAGTCATCCAGCTGACTTTGGCTTATATCCCAGTGTTCTTCATGGCAGAATGCACCTTATTACTTCTCCCTGCTTTGATCGTTACCTCCTTTTGTTTGGAGTCTCAAAAAAGAATGGGAAAAAAGGTGCTTTCTTTTTCTTTTAAAGGAATGATTTGGATGCCTAAAATGCCTATGTTCATAATTTTATTTTTATTTCTCCTAGTCCTTTGCAAGGATGCTTGTATTACTGTCAGATATGTATACTCTTGCCTGAAAAAAATTCCTGTAGGTCACAGATCCAGAAGAATATAGGCTAATTTGCAGACAGTTGTGCAGGTCCAGTTACCATGTTGTCAGTTGAAAAGCACATGTAGATGCACCAAAAGTGAAGTGAGGACAATATCTTTCCCTTACTAATGTGCTCCTCTTGATTTTAAATATTGCATTGACAATTCTCAGTGCTTGCACCTTTTCAACACTTCCCTGAGTCTCAAGCTATGCCAGAAAGGGAAGATATTAACTCTTTAACACCACTTTTTGCAGCTCCTTTTTCAGACTATTTACTGTTGTGGTTACTAAGGTTCCCTGACAGTTCTTAAACATGCAGAAAGATATGCTTTCTTAATGGCTGTGAAGTAAATGGAAGGGAAATCTGAGCCAATTTAATGGTTGCAGAGTAAACAGAGGGGAAATATATGCACCTACAGTAAAAGAGCAGGGGGTGCTACATACAGCCCCCAAGGCCATGTTCTGTCTCCTTGCCACTTGGAGCCTCCCCATTCCCCCACAGCCCAGATCCCAGGAATGGCATGGGCATGACTGCAGGGAGCTTGCCCTAGCAAGCCCCATGCCATTCCAGCTGACAAAAGTAAAGTACAAGAGGCTCAGTGTGCCAGTTCCAAGAAGGGGGGTCACATGGGAGAGTTCTGGGTGGGAGAAACAGGAAAAAAAGGCATGGGCCACCTCAGAGGAGTGGTCATTGTGCTTGGGTGGTGGTTGGAGCAGAAGCTTCCTGTGATCTCTGCACAGAAAAGCCAACCAGCTCTAAGACCTCATATCGATTGTCTCCCTCATTTCATGGTTACTTAAATATATTAATTGTGCATATTAAATTAAATAAATATATTGCAAACCCTTTGATTTGCAAAATGGCAATATAATTTATTGTGCAGCCCTGTGTCCAAGTCCTCATGTGGTCCTTGAGGTATGAAAAGCTGGAATGCCCTGTGCTAGGAGAACTGTAGGTAAAGCATTATGATTAGAAGGAATGTTGGATCGTTGCTATTAACCTAAATGTACAACATAATGATCCACTATAATTGGGTTGTTGTGCCATGTGAACCCAGTGAAGTTTCTGCAGGGTGGCTCTTTTTATGAACAAGTCGCCCTGAGTATCCATGGCTAATTTTAGGATTTTTGAGAGCCATGGTGGATTGTTATGTTGTCTGAACGCAAGAGAGCATTTCACTACAAGGAATGTAGTGTTGTTACATTGAACTCTACTGTCATATGTTGTTATGGCAGCCTTGTTCAGTACAGTGTCTATTCAAAACATATCCACTGTGCCTAGCAGCAAGTCTGGGTGCTGGGGGTAGTAATAAATATGTATGTGGATTTCCTGCATTTACAACAAGATGGAACAGCTGCACTAGTTAAAGGTGTTGCTAACACTGCAAGTGGTTGCTGTCTGAGAAAACAATGCATAGGTCAGCTAGTGCTGAAAATATTCAGTGAAAATATAAATCCTGAATAATTTTCCTTGCACTAAAAATGAAAGTGTGGAGCAGTAGTTGGAAGTAGAAATGGACAGACTAGTCAGCTCTGGCCTGTGTAAGTTTCACATGCTCGTGAAAAGATCTGACAACTGTGTCAGTCACACCCCAGCATTTTTGGCAACACCACTGACTGTCACAAAATGGCAGGAGTGCCAGACCCAGAATAAGCCAGTCATGTCAAATCGATGGAGAAACTTGGGCACAATAACGAATACACAATGTATTAGATGGAAGGATGGTGTAATACCAGTCACAAATGAGCACAGGCAGAAAAGGCCAGAAACTGAAAATCACCAATTGCCTCAGTGTTTAGGGTTTCACTCTCTCTTTCCCCTCCCTCCATTCACTGCATTTCAAAAATCACTGTTTTAAAAGCTTTTATCAAGAATAATCAGATTGGTGCATATATAACAAATATACTATGTGAGCAAAGTAGCATATTTGTCACAAACTTTTTAAAACAATGTAATTTGTTGCTCTTTTTCTTCCTAATCATTTGTTGTGGAATGAATATATCAAAATTGGGTCAAGTTCAGGTAAAGATTTTAAAATGCAAATGAAATTGCATTAATAGAATATTATGTAATCTAACTAAAAATGCCCCTTAACTTTTAACTATTAGTCATGCGTGCCCACTGACATCATTTGCGTCTATCACTCATGATATAAACAAAACCTCAGCTAACTTCTATAAATACATGTGATGTTATTTTTTTCCCCACAGTAATATTTGTAATCTAGACAGGAAAAGGTCTAATAGGATTCCTTGTTTTAGTCACTGTAATTTCATTAGGCCTTCTGCAGTTCCTCGGTTACCATTTTTCAACAATTTTTCAACAATATGCTAGCTACATACTGAATGTATATAACTTAGGAGTATTGAAATGTGGCACGTAAGACAAATCTGATCCATAGTGACACACAATGATTTGGGAAGTTGAGTGCCCCATTAACTATCACAATATATTTGTTGGAGTGGTTTGTTACACGCTGCCCATAAAAATTAGGAGGATTCAGTTAACCAGCAACAATATTGTAATTTCTCACAAGCTAACTGTATTGCCTGTAGGTGGATGGTATGGGTGGACACCTATACCCATCTCTCTCGTTCCTATTTTCCACCACAAACACAAGGAGTATGAGAAACTGGAGGCAGGCTAGTATGCAAATATAAGGGTTTGGAGAGCTGATTTGTTGAGCGTACGTGCCATTTAGAGCGTTGGAAGACACTTTTCGGTGCCACACTTAAATGCTGCATCTGTGCCTGCAGGCCTCCTGTCTGTCTGAGGAAATGGGAGAGGGAGAGATGCTGACCAAGAGATAAGCCACCTAGTCTGCAAGCCTAGTCTATTTCCTTTTTATCTCAAACTTCTGGGAAATCAAAAAAAGGAGTGGCTGATCAGGTGGCAGGCAATCACACATGGATGCTAGAGATGAAAAAGATAGGGAGTCCTGGAGGTAGGCTGGCAGGGAAGAGAGTATGTGCAGATATGTATCTCTGTGTGTTTATAGGTGTCTATTAATGAAGGGATGTGTGTGTGTAACCTACATTTGCCCTGCCAGCTTTTGATAGTAAACACACCTGTTGTATATTAGGCCCCAACAAATGCAAAATCCAACAGAAAAAATGTTTCCCGCCCTGCATTAAAGTCTTACCAACAGGCATCTTACCTATGCAAAGATCCTTGGCCATTTTATTTGTTATCTTTCTCAGTTCTTGGTAAGATTTGTTAAAAGGAAGTGGACATTGAACATTTGAAAGAAGGTGGCGACACCTTCCATAAGGCAAAGGAAAGGCAGATGTGAGAAAGGGAAGAGTCCCAGCAGATGGTTTTCCTTTTCTTGATTCTTAGTATCTGTTGTCTTTGGAAAGAATGACCCTATTCCAAATCCACTACAGAATATTTGTTATTCTGGAATTAACCAATGAATGTAGTTTCATTTTGCGCATCTGAGAAATAGGAACACTGGGATTGTGGCGTGCATACGTGTTTAAAAAATCATTTGTAATCTGTCCAAAGAAATCTTGTTATAGGGTGGGTTGAAAATATAACAAATTAATTACTAATTACTCCACACAAAATGCTAAGTTTAATATTTAATAGCTTATTTTAAATTATCAAAAATTCAAATCCAAAAATACTGCAATAGATAGGTAGAAGCGCCCTTCATGTGTGTGTTTGTGTGTGAAAACACAATTAAGGAGTAGGGGAGCATCCCTAATCTGGCTACCTCAGATGCCCATGTGTTGAATGCAGATGCCTGCAGGGGGACAGTTTCTGTCAACTCCCTGTGACTGCAGTTCCAGCCTAAACAGAGGCTGCATGTAGCAAGTTTCCTCTTGCGAATGTCCATGCTCAATTCAGCTCCTTAATCTTATGGGGCTCCATCCACACAATTATTGTGTAAAGGAGGCCTAGTGAAGAACAACTCTGTGTGTGTGTGTGAGAGAGAGAGAGAGAGAGAGAGAGCGCGAGAGAGAGAGAGCGCGCGAGAGAGAGAGAGAGAGAGAGAGAGAGAGCATGAGACTGAGAATGGGATTTGGATTATAGTGAAGATGTGTGCGGCTTAAACCCTTTTCCAAATGTTGTTTTCCTTATGGTAGTTGTCCCACCCTCTAAAGAGACCTACCCCAAGACATTTTGTTTCCTGAGGTGGAGAAACAAATAGTGACATATTTCATTCCCATCTAGGTATATAGGTGAGAATCTCTCCTGGCAGCTAGACTGTGGTCTTTATGGAAACCAGTAAAGGCCATTTAATTTTTTTTTTTTTTTTTTGTTCTCCAATTTTGGAGGGGTGTGTGTTTTTATTTATTTATTTAAAATATTTATATACCATCCTTCTTCCATATAGGATCTCAGGATGGTTTATGTAAAGACAAGAAAACAGCAATACAATTTGCAACAGCACTTAGAATGCAGTATAGTACAGTGTATAAAATATATAGTAAAATCATTTTAACTATTAATATACTGGGTAAATAAAATGTTTTATTGGTGCTGAAATGAACAAAGGGTCAATGCCAGGCCTATACCTCTCTGGAGAACAGATTCCACAGAATTTACAGCAGATTTATACAGGTATTTGCTGAATACCTGAGGGTGAGAGATCAGGGCTACAGACATGGGAAGCACCCCTTGTTTCCAAGTTCACTGGCCCCGTCTTTCTCAATTCAGACCTTGTCATGTTGAATAGCAAGACCTGAAAGAGAGTTCTACTTCCATTTACTTCCTTAGGCGGGATTAAGAATCCCTGAGCACACCTTGTGACGTAGGGAAATGTTTATGGCCTCAACCTTCTATCTGCTTTAAGTCCTCATACATCGAGGCTGAACAAAACTGTGTTATTGTGTTTTTAGAAATTTACATGGTTGGTGGCTTTATTCTGTTGTTTTAATCTTTTAAAGTCTTTTATATTATGTTTTATTATGTTGTTATATTTCATTTTAATAAATGATGAGTACCCAGTGTCAACCCAGTTATTTTGACTCCTGAGGCAGAAAATCCCACAAACACATCTCTCCCTCACTGGTAGTAAAAATATAATGAATGACTTAGTTCTGTTAACTTCAATGGATCTTCTCTAGCCTGATGGTGGTGGAGGTGGTGATGATGAGGATGATACACGTACAACTGGCTGCATTTCACGACACTAAAATTTGTAGCCTTAGGCAGCATCCCCCCTCTGCCTAGTGGTAGGTCAGCCCTGCTTCCTAAGCTACTTTTTACTCTATTAAGATGAACAACTGGCAGGGAGCAAATGTCAGAGCATTCAATAATTTTTGGAAGGGCTTTTTTGGTTACCTTACATTATATTTTAGAATAACCCTGTGGTAACGGCATGAGGGTTGTATTTTTTTCCCCTTACCCTGTTTTGTAGCTAAGTCGGAATCAGTTTCAGAATTAACACTTCTATATATTTCTGCCTTTACTCTTTTTAAAAGGTCCTGCCCTTCCCATTATCATTTTCTTCCGCTGTGAAAATCAGCAGAATGTGGAATATGCTCCAGTTGTGTGTACTTTCTATGGGTTATGTGAATATCCTTTATCAACCAAAGCTATTACAGTTACAGAAACTGACCCAGATTCCAAGTCTCTGGCATTAATCATTAAGTACTGCATTTCATTTAGCAGTATTAAATCTCTAAGTAATAAGGTTTGCAACCCAGTTTATGATAGTCTTAGCACTCATAGGATACAATTTATATACTTTGGAGTAGTTTCTCTAAAGTTCCACTGGCATCTTATTTGGAAGTTTTTCCTAACACTGCTGTAGTGCATTCTCTCATTTTCTGGATTCCATAATTAGGATTCACTGATGCACCAGAACATGCTACTTTTTATTAAAATAGAACTATATTTTAAGTATAGCAGAAAATTGTAGAGTGTAATAATGGAATCCTGTTAAGTTTGGAAAAATGCTTTGACCATAAGCCTTCTCAGAAGCTACATTTTGATCAATTTAGACCCCACCTCCTCTTTCTTGATTTTGTTATCAGCTACATCCATGCTAGTCCTTTAACAATCCCTGTTTAGTCTTTTGCTTGATCTAAACTGTGTATATTCATGAAACTACTTATTATCCTTTTACTTCTTTATTCCACCATATATTGGAGTCTATGAGGATGCCAGGCACTTCTTGGTTGTAAATTTGCTGTGCAAGCTTATGAGTTACCATTTGGACTTGTGCATCAAGGAATCTTATGATAAAATAAAAACCTAATGACATCACATCTTCCTATTTAATTCCTAGTTTTGAGCATTGGTGAGGGCGGATTCTGGGAAGGAAGCACTCGAGGACATGTTGGATGGTTTCCTGCAGAATGTGTTGAAGAAGTGCAGTGTAAACCAAATGAAAGCAAACCAGGTAAGATTTTCATAGTTTATTGAAGAAATGCGTTTTTTGCATTGACATTAGTAGAGCTTGGCCCTAGGAAAAAAAATAGATATGTATATTTTTTTTAACATATAGATTTATAGGTATTTTTTTCCCTACCAGTACAGTGGTACCTTGACTCATGACCCAAATTGGTCATGACCCAAGCCATAGATGGGTACGATCGCGGTTGCACTCGGGCAGGGAAGATGGGTGTGATCACGGCCATCTCCCCCCGCCCCAGAGCACGCTCGCGGCCATCTCCCACCTGAGCATGACCACGATTGTGCCCATCTTCCCTTCACAAGTGCAGCTGTGAACATGGCCATCTTCCCAGCCCCCCGAGCACCATCGCGGCCATCTCCTCCCCCTCCCCAAGCATGACTGTGATCATGCAGGGAAGACAGGTGCGATTGCGATCGTCACCTGATGCAGAGTTTGCGACCTGAGGCAAAATTTTTCTGAAATTTCTGTTCGCAACCTGATTTGGTCGTGAACTGAGGTGTTCGTGAGCCGAGGTACCACTGTATATGACAACAACTTAACAGCATCATCCTAGTGTGTTTACTCAGAATTAATGCAGCTTCCTCTAAGGTTAGTAGGCATAGTTTTTCAGCTTTAATATCTTGCTATGCTCACATAACAAAAATGTGAAGTTTTTCTATAGAATGATATATATTTTCCTCTGTTGCGTACTGAATGCGTGCCTTATGTGAAAGGTTTAATACAGTGGGCACATTCTAGTCAAACTGATGCACCTTTTACTCTCATTGAGTTCAGCCAGAGAGAGTTGTTTACATATACAACTCTAAAATATATTTGACTGTGTTGCACCCAGTGTCACTATGGAAATTGTTATAGTTAAGTTGAGATTGGAACCAAATTTAACTTAAATATTGATGTTTAGAAACAGCATGAAATGTGGTGCATAATCTTGAATTTCTGAAATATTGTGCATTAGGGTGGTATAGTAGGAGTCTTGGTGGTGAAGATATGCTTTCTGCCGTGAAAACATCAAACTCTCCTCCAAACTGTCATATGTATTTAACCAGTAGAATTAACAAATATCTCTTGTATTCATTTTCAACACACATTTTGTTAGAGTATATTTGATGTTTTTCACTTTTAATAATCTTAAATAGAGTAGTTTCTTGGTATTTTAATCTTTCTAAGAGTTGAATTAAGAGCTGGCATAGCTGATAACATACACAAAATCAGAAAAATTGGATACAAATTAGATGTAATTCATGATCTAATTCTCAGACACAGCATGAATTGTTTTGTGCACTAGAAGAAGCTGCAGTGTTATATAATACATTCTCAAGAAATCAGTTGAACTGGACTAAAATTACTAAAGAAACATGGGAAATGAATTAAGAATAGTAAAGGGACTAGTGATTAAATATCATCTATAGAGGCTAGGAAAAGGTTCTCAGCTGAGAAGTGTCAAAACATGCATAAATTGAAGGAATTAACACTAGAGTCTCTGCAGTGTATCAAAGATTTCACACAGTTTAGAAATAAATACTCCAAAAGTTCCAAGTAGTACTGCAATATTCAACATTTCCTTAGCACAGCAATTTTCTAAGCACAGCAATTGTCTTCTAGTTAATTCTGTAATGGGAGTCAGTTCCCCTTTTAGGAAAAATATTCCGCTTTCCAGCTAAACATCTGTGAGTATATCTATCAATGTATGAGTAAAGAGAAGCTGGGTATATTTTGAACATGAAGTAGTGATGTGAAATTTTCCTTGTAAAAGCATGTATGTGATGATGCTGTGGCTACAATCCTAGATTTCTGTGGGGTGAATAAGCCATAGTGATTGTTCTTATTGACATTTCCAACCTTTATGGTTCTCTAACATTCTGTGGACCTTGGGGGAACTATAGAAATAGCAGTGATCCTAAGTACTGTTTAAGCCCCGTTGAACTCAGCATTCAGGATGAGGCTCTGCAAGGTATCTAGCATAAATCAGAGATTCTCCCTGCATCTTTGGCTGGATCAGAAGGTGAAACAGCTAAGGTTATTGTCCATCTTACTTCCACTTCTTTGTGTGCTTCCCATGTCCAAATTTCCCTGATTAGGTTAACAGTTTACTTTGTTGTTCTTACAAGGAAGAAGTATATTGAAGGTGAACTTTGAAGTCCTGTGTCAGAATGAATTTGGAATACATATTTGGTCTCTGTTTTAAGTAAGTATCACTGATCTCAGTGCTGTTTATTCTTAATTAAGTGTACACAGAATTGCAGCCTTGGACTGTAAACCTATGTATACTTACTTAGGAGTAAGCCACACTGAATTTGGCAAAACTTACTTCAAAGTAAAAGTAAAAAGGACTGAACAAACACTGAACTTGACATTTCTTACAATTTTTTTCTGTACATCAAAAAATTGTAGAATGGTTAGATTTAAAAGCCGGATGAACAAAACTCTTATCCTCCAGTTCAGCCCTACCTGCACTACAATGTGATATTCACAGATCAAGATTTTCATCTGATCAGTGGGTAATTTTTATATGAAAGTGATGTAAACAGTGAGATCCCTGAAGGATTCTGTAGTGGTATTAGTTACATTTTCATTGATAATATGGTGCTAGGGGTTAGCATTGCGGTGACCAGGCTTGACAAGGTGATGAAAACCGAAGTAGACCTTGAAAAACTTCAGAATTTTCCAAACTCAGTGAACGGGTGGTAAAATGGCAAATAGGGTTCAACAGAGGGGTAAAAGTAATTGTTATGAGCAGCTCAGCTCCTGCTTTTCTTTTCCTTTCAAACTCCAGACAAAGCCTTAGGAACACAGTCCTTTGTTGAACCTCATCTGCTTCAGAATAAATCAAAAAAACTTTCCACTGGGGTGGCAGGAGAAGCATCTGTCCTTGTAAAGAGCTGAATCCTAACCAGAATTTCCCCTCTGTCCTCCCTTTCAGTAAAGCTTCTGAGGCCACCCTCAGGGTGGCTCTTTCTGCTTGAGGGCTAGACAGCTAGAATGCCAGAGACCATGTAATTGGGCCGCTCGCTTCTGGTGGTGCAGGTCAAAGAGCTGGTGCAGGTCAAAGAGCTGTTCCTGCATCTGCCTCCCCTCCCACTCTGAAAAACCTACTGCCCCTTCCAGAGCAAGCAGATTTATATGCTCTGCCTGAGAAAAGTCACTGGGTAACCTTGAATCAGTCAACTTCTTGTTCCTCTGCCATCTGAATCAAATGAATTTGAGCAGAGTAATGAGGGGAAGCATACTCTGTAATGAGTATGACAGACATTGGTTAAAAAAAATCCACTTGTAAAGAATGTGATATGAATAATATTAACTCTGAAAGACAGATTTCTTGAGATTATGGTGGATGGTTCACTGGATACATCAACACACTGGTAGTGAAAGAAGATGATTCTGCCTTAAGCACTATGAAGAAAAGGAATGAAAATAAAGTGGCCTCTATTATTGTGCCTTTATATAAACACACAGTCCTCTTTTGGAACATTGTATACAGTTCAAATTGCTCCATCTTAGAAAAGGGCAACTAAATGATGAAATACTTAGTGCTATAGTAAAAACCATCATAAAATGTTGAAATGTATTCCACCTACTAATTCCCCATACTCCTATGTAACAGGGTTCCTTTCTCTCTTTTTAAAAAAGACCCTTGTGGCCATACCTTTATCTAAGTATCACTATATTCTCCCCTGCCCCTTTGATTTTTTTTTTCAAACGGAAAAGATCATTACTCATGATTTGCTGGATTCCTTTTAATAACTTCCAGTTGGCCTGACTGTAGATTGCCTTGTGATATGTAAAACCAAACTCCATGGGTTGTTAGTGGTTTTAAACAATCCAAAGTTGGCCTACAATTACTTTAACCAGTGAATAACTCATGATGTTCAGACTCAAACATCATGAAGCAATCTACTATTGGGCTAATCAGATGATGTATATGCACATTGAAAGTAGCTCCTGAATGGCATGCAATCCAGTAAATAGTGACTTGGCCAATAAATTAATCATGGGTTAATTAACCAACCCATTATTTTTAACCATTATGTGCAAATGAGCCCTTTTTGCGTAATGCCCTTGTTTGCCCTTCAGTAGAAGAGCTGAATCTCCAAGGCAGTCCCAACCTGCTCAAGGGTCCAAGCACTTCCTTATGAAGTGGCACATGTCATTTCCATGGAAGGAGTAGGGTTGAAATAGCAGTCACTGGAGATCTGTTAAGGCACTTATGAACCTGGAAAGGGAGAGCCTTAGTAGCCCTGTATTGATTATGGGGCTGTGGAAAATACCATATAGTAGAGTCCTGAAAAGGCATAACCAATAACAATCTTTAGAAAAGTATCCTGATGAAACAAAGGGTGTTTCTAGATGAGGCTTTTATTGTGCCATCACCCTGCCTCATCCATGGATTTTTACAGGTTGTTCCAATTTTTATACGTGGACCATTTGTAACCATCTTGTGTTCCTTCCCCTCTCAAATGCTTTGGTCTTTTTTTCACCACAGAAAATCTATTAAGGAGAGAAAGACAGAATAGCTGCACAGTATTTAGGAGCCCACTGCCTGGAAACACCATTAGGATCTAGTATTACAGCTTCCCTAACTGAGACATTAAGAGTAAATGTTGATGGGTGATTAAAGTTTAACTGTGGACCAGATGACAAATCAGACATATGTACCTTCATTCAAAAGTCTTCCAACCCTTTGCATTAAGGTAGAATTAATTAAGCCTGGGAGATGTTGAGGATTTCATTTGCTGGGCAGTAGAAGCAGTGTTGTACAACAGGCAAGTGTCAGTAGAAATGGTGTGATGAATAGTTTTCTTTCTAGATTCTTTAGCATGTCATAATATTACTAGCAAATATATAACAACCACTGCAGTGCAGCTATGAAAAGGGTACCTGTATCCCGCAGATCACTAATCAGAAGAATCAGGGCCTATACCTAGGTGGGCCCTATTTATACAATTGTCCCCAATTACAATCTAGAGATTACAGTTTCTTTTATAGCTACTATTTGAGCTAGAAGACAAGCCAACAGTACTTGTGCCCAGTTTTTCCTCTAACTTTGACACCTGTCTTCTTTCCTTTCCTGAAGTGTTGCACATGTGGAGTATTATTAGTTGTAATAGGTTGGGAGGATAATGTAGATGACAGGACTGGAATGCTCGTGAAGTTACTCTTCTAATTGATCAGATTAAAGGTGATTGGAGAAATCCAGATTGTGATCGTATAACAATAGGCAAGTCCTTCCAATCCTATCTTGACCTCTTTCCAGCCTTCTGGATTTAAGGCTTTGAAGTTGCAATCTTTTGTCTTCTGATTGTTTCAGCTTCATTCCATTTGTCTGTAAGGGTGTTATACTCCAGCAGTTTTGTATAGCATTTAATTCTGTAAAGTAGACTGTGTTACCTTTTGCAGTGAAAACAGATCCTATGGCTTGTTAAAGATTAATAAATTGATCATGGCACAAGATTCTGTAGGGAATAGATGCGTAGCTGCACTTACAAATATAGTTAGTTCTAATAGTTCAATTTTGTAGATGATCACTAGATGGCATTATTTATATACAAAACAGAAGCAAGTCAATAGAATACAGCAAAGTGTGAGGAATTCATTTCAAGTTATTTTATTTTAAACTAAGATTTACCTAGATTATCATCTGGATGGAACATGAGTGCAAATACAATCAGTGTTTGAAGCCTTGATGATGCAGTGTGAATCATGAATGCTCAGCAACATGCAGCCATATGAAAAATGCACATAAAATATACTTTTGAGAAATGCACACAAATATGGTTTAATACAATGGAAGAAGAATCCATGCAGAAGCAGACTGCAGAGACATGGATTTTCATGAGAAAAATAAAACAGAACTTGCAAACTGATTCTGACTTGAGTCAGAACCAGCTTTGGAGTTGGAATTTGGAAGACCTTTGCAGACTTACTCATGTATACCTAATACAGTGTTGTAGATTCACATATCTCTAACATAGTGGTGTTTTAGTGTACTATTCACTTTTGCCATGTATGTATAAAAAGCAGTGATAGCTCACTGAGCAAAACTGAGAAGTGTTTTTTTGTTTGTATGTGATGCTGGGTCCATATGGACCCAGTAGTCTTATTCTCACTAAGGTGGTACAACTAGTCAGTAGGCAGAAGTTCACATGATGGAAAGATCTCTTGCAAAACAAAATTTGCATGGAAAAAATATGTAAGATAGGAAGCAAAGGTAGTAACTTTCTAACTGGTGTCTAGTTTTCTGCTTTGATAAATTTAGTTGTATGGAGAAGTATTCAGTCATGTGACTCCCCACCTGCAGTCTGAAATGTTAAGACCCCGGCTCAGTGATGCCATTTCTGTGAGGCAGCAGCTGCACTGGATTCTGATTAATTTCTGGGTTCTATTGAAAAGCATTTTTGACCTCTGGATTTGTGTAGTGCCCTGCCTATATCTAATATGGACCTTCTGTTTGTATGGGAATGGGAAAAACAAGATCTGGTGTGATAAGGATCTTTTCTCTTGCTGATCCAATTTCGTAAAATGAGTTTCCTGTGAACATATAGCACTGTGCCTCTCTTTAGTACTACAAAAGTTACAAGCTTGCTTTTGAGTGTCAGTGATGCTTTTAATGTTGTGAATATTCACATTTTAAATTATTAATATTGTGGTGGTTGCCTCAATCCTCTTTTGCATATTTGTTTAGTACAACTACACACATACATGCATTCTTTTTAATTTAGAGCAGGTGGGACGGTACTAGAGTAGAGAAGAGCAAGAAACATTGGTTCTCTTCATGGATCTGTAGCTGAGACTGCAGTCTGAGTCTCTGAGGACCTTATGCAAATGATCTGGAGTCAGATATGGCTAGTCACCTCTGTGCATTCACTCAAGTATAATGCCATTTGCTTTCATGCCGTTTGCTTTCTTCCAATCCTTACACTCCTTTAACTTTACCTTTCTGGATGACTTACTGAATCATGCAATTAAAGAAACATTGTATTTAGAATCTTCTCTGCACTACTTTTTTCCTCCAACCAGGAGAAGCATATATAGTGCTTCTGAAAGAAGGAGGGAGCTGGTGCATGGACAGAACTTCAGGGTGTGGTTGGAGCTTGAAGCACCATCACTTCTGGGGGGTCAATAGCTGCACCTAACTGCCAGTTTTTTCCATCTGTAATGGAAAGTTTTGTGTTTCTTTCCTAGTTGTTA